AAACAATCATTTGTTCCTAGAGGTGCTAAACTTAACTTGATTTGATATGTATATTATTATATAATATGTAGTGTTTTGAATTTTTATTGTAATATTACCGTAATTCTTATCGCCAAAGGTAATAAATAAAGGTTATTATTATTATTTATTGTAGTGTCCGACTTGAAAACAGTGCGTACGCCTTGTTGTTGTAGGCAACGGCGAAGCTGTTCGGACAGACCTTTGACATAAGGTAAAACCGCAGTAGCTTTAAACTCGTTGGCGGGCTCGGCACTGTTGTTTGGTTTTCCGGTCTTGTAACTTTCTACAAGAAAGAAAAAGGATAACCATTAGAAACCAGAACAGATGACAGATGTGTTTTCTCCTCGGAGATGACGGAGGGTTTTGTAACGAGACGTTTGGCGCGCTCGTAAAGGCACTTAACAATACCGCGTTTTACTGATCGAGGGTGGTGTGAATCATACTGTAAGTATTGATCGGTGTGCGTGGGCTTTCTGTATATACCCTGGTGGTGAGGCGGCTGTCAGGTTCTCTTAAAACTACGGTGTCTAGGAAAGCGAGTTTGTTGTCTTTTTCTGTCTCGATGGTGAAGCGGATGGAAGGCTACTGGTTGTTTAAATGCTGTAAGAGGTCATCTACCTTTCCACGATCCAGGATAGTAAAGGTATCGTCCACGTAGCGTTTCCAGATCCTAGTCTCGTAGGATGATGCAGTTATCGGCTGTTCTTCGAAACTCTCCATGTAGAGGTTAGCAGTAACAGTGGAAACCGAACTCCCCATCACACGTGACTATATCGTGAGACGAAAAACTTAGCTTTTATATCGATAACTGTCATTAATTTCAGTGTCAGTTATCTTCAACATAGCATCCCTGACAGTCCAGGAGATGTAAAATAATGACACGGATCTAGCTTGTAATAATGCAAACATGTATTTCTAAAGTTTTCAAACACATCTGATAACAGGAAAACATCAGATCCAATATATAAATCATGATATCCTCCAATTGATCTCATATTAAACATATTTCACACCTTTTTTGCATGTTCATATTCATATTGATCAACAGCTATGTGCTCATTTAACGCACTTTATAATAAAGTTCGAATGTAACGCGTGCTGTCATTGGTTAAAAGAGCGTGCTCTATGAGTGTATAGAGCATAGAACTGAGCTGAAGCTGTCACGCCATCTGCCAAATTGTACTGTGTCCGACCTTTTCCGACACTTCTTTCTAGCTTTTCTTTCGTAAATTGAAAGTGAAATTTCGGAACAAGCGAGCAAAGATCTGCAAAAATGCCAGGTGCAGTAATTTACGTTACTGTGGCGTGAGCAGAGACGAAACAAAATGGACAATCCGAGTTTTAAAGGTTTTCACGCCCAGTTAGATTGCAAGTTTACGTACGGTAATAAAAATCAAACACAACTAGCACTTGTGTAGTATATAAAGTTTCGTGTTCAAAAACAAAACATAAAAAAAAAGGAGTGATGAAAAATATAACTTGGCATAACTGTTGAAATTCATACTAATCATGACGGTGTCAGAGCGACTACGATCATGCTGAGGTCTATCGCGGCTAGCTCATCATGGCGATCTTCGGTCATCACAGTGGAGCTAACCCCAGGAACTAAATCGACTACCCTTCGAATGGAAAAATAAGAGCTTGCTCTGATAACTTTTCCTATGCGTTGAGTGGAAGGCCACGTCAGTCACTGCAGCCGAGTTTTACGGCGCTGTCATTCCGAGTGATCTTCATGTCCTAGTGAATTCGGCTGTCGTTCATTCATAAAACACTCGGCTTGAACAGTTTGTTTTCTTCTTGTCATGTGAAATAACTAGCGTATTTTTGTGAGCCACTACACTCTTTTGTTCAAAACATATGAAAACTGAAAAAAAATCTGACAACAATGCGTGACTGTCGCCTCTTCTCATCGATGCGAATATTTTGATACGAACTATTTAGATCAAAGCATATTAAGTAAAATGGATTTCATGTTTTCCGAAACTTTTTTCATTCTATTGATATATCCCTGAGAGATAAACTAAATTAAAATACAAGAGTACAGTTCTCATCAAAAGGTTCTTTTTTTTTCGCCGTCAAAATTCAATGCCTGCGGTCGCGCACCACTCCGGGTGAAAAAAAAATATGTTGGAGACATAAATTATCAGTCTTCTCTCTATTTTAGCCTAAAAATCTTGTTTCGAAGACAGAAACATTCTAAAAACACTCACAGAGATTTTGAGAGTATTTTCTTATTTATTTGCCATGACCGAAAAAACTCCTCGAGTTGCTTCTTTCCTACCGCGCGAAAATCCAATTTTCGCGGGAAAAAGACAAAAGCCTTTCAGCTGACCATTGTTTGTGAAGACAAGCTTAATGTTTATCATCTAACTCATATTATCACCAGTGACTTTGCACATTACTTGGAGTGATCTTATTGTTATTATTCAGTCCATTTCAGAAACCATCATCCATCATGGCTTTTTCATGGCTCTCGACATTGTTAAGAGTAAAATTTACTTTCACACTCGTTCTGTTGACTTTTTCTTTACTCTACCCTTTTACACTAGTTGTCACAACGGGGACTAGCTCTGACCTCTCGAGGAAAGTGAGGGTCACTGTTTATAAAGGTGACACTTACAGAGCTATCAATCTCTAACCTTCGCCATACTTTTACACTTAAATAGCAAATCACGTTGGGCTACGTAGAACGGAGTTCGCATACTAAGTAGTTACCTTCGCGATGTTTACGCCTTACGAAATGTCTTTGTAACTTAAATTTCTTGGTCTTACAATCAAGTTTAGGCAAAACATAACCAAGATTGACAATACGAAAATTATAATAAAATTATTAACAGAATTAAAATCATACTTAGAAAGGTATCCTAGAAGAAAATTGTCCTTGAAGGTTGCCGCATAACAGCAGAGTAAACACAAAATTCGGAGAAGAAAGGGCGTACCTGAGGTACCGCCCCCAAGAGAGCTACGTGCTATTCGTATAAGTTATCTAATTACAAATTCAGTACGGTAGATGAAAGTATTTCACGTTTACACCTTAAATCACCTCTAAGAAAAAGAGTGTCGAACGTGTTAAATTAAAAACTGAAAACTATTTTCCTGATGGGGAATTCGATATGGATTTAGCCTAAAAACGAGAGTATGAAATGGATGAAAGTATAAAGAGGGGATATTTCCAGGAAACTCCTGTGCCGGATCAATTTCTTTGAGCAACATCATGAAAAGGTAACGGTAACTAGCAGCAAACTGCAGTTTACGCAAAAACATCTGTCTCCATGTCAAATTCACGATCATAATAAGGAAAAGGTGACCAAACTCTATCTTTAAGGTAAGACCGCCAAAAGGAATAAGAAATGATCAACTGGCTTATTACAATGTTTACGGAATGGCTTATGCTATAATATATTATTTCCATTCATTCTCCCAACACCAATATAGGAAACCCTTACAATATTTTTAGATTAGATATATTCCCCTTTTTTATCGTTTAGCAACATACCAAAATTTTTCATTTGGGGTTACCACCTATTCAGTAAACACACAATTCCTACCTGAAGCAACCTGCCTCAGAGGGATAAAATGGCCGGCACATTTCATAAAAATCCACTAACTTGTGAAGCCATCAAGTAATTGTATAACGAAGATGAGTTAACTGATTTCGACCCTCGTGATTCACGAGTTTTTGCTTCATACTGTCTGGTTCTTCGCATCCATCTCGTTACCAATATCAACATTTACGGAAGAAGTCTATCTTTCACCTCGTTCAAACAGTTGAGCACGACTCGTTCCTCATCTGACAAACCATGTCTTGACAGCGACAACAGTCTCAGTCGTTTCCGCGAATAACATCGAAACGCGCAAAATGAATGCCATCACGGAGCGCAAAAATAATAGATTTGCACCAAAATATCATAAGTCCTCGCCCCTCTCATCAACGGCAAAGAGAGTTCCAAAACATCTCTTTCACGTCCATCAAAATTTACACCTACAGTTTCTCCCATGCACTCCTCAAGTAGTCAAAGATTGCTGTTGATAAATTAAGAGGAAAACTTCTTGATATTCGCAGGATTGAATCTAGATACAGTCCTTGCCTCTGGGAATTTGCACCTGAAAAATCATACTTGTGAAATTATTCACCCTAGGCTCAGAGAAAAGTTCTAAATAGTTTTTCTCGATCATTAATGGTTATTATTTACTTCGCCATGATGGAAATTATACCTAACCTCTCTCGCAGGGTCGTCTTTTTTTTCCTGGGAACGAGGCTTCTACGTTTTTACTGGTTGTTCCTTTCTGTTTGCGTAGTCTGACGTTATCAAGGCAAAGGTGATTCAATTGTTCATAATGGGTTTGAGCTGCCCGTTAGCAGTTGTGTCCCTTTTTATTTTGGAGCTAAACTCCACACTTAAGTCAGGTAAGTCCGGGATATTAGAACGCATTAATTTACGTAGAACTTCACCTTAATGACTTTGTTTTAGGCGGGTAAATTGTCCAGCTATCAGGATTTCGTTATCTTTGTAATCCAATTTAGCCTTACCTACGCAAAGTGAAATTTTTTATGGCCAAGATTGCACTTAAAATAGAGCAAGTCAAATAGTATTCAAATGAGAGACCTACACGAGTTAGAAATAAAGGGGATCCTTTCCCTAAAATGTCTCTATCGTGTAGGATTTTCACTGAATCTTATAGCGGCGAATTGGTTAGTTTTATAAGCCTGAAAACATATTAAAAGCCTCTCATGTAAGGTAATGAAATACTTTTATTTAGGGTGAATCAAGTTTATCTGTCAGTAATAGCTTCTTACTTTGTATATAACTATGCAACTGTGGTATGTTTTAAACCATCTCTTTTTTCATTTTACGAAAAAAGACCTCATTTGTAGCGTGATATTTTTTCTAGGTGGCAACTTGCAACCTAATATACCAATTGAGAATGAAACATTGGTTATATCTGGAGGACTTTCAGAAGGTAATCTGTGAGACAATGCTTTGGTGGCCACTTACCCCGAAACTGGGCGATTTGATGGACCTTTTAGTTTTGGAGACATACACCTTTTGAGATTAACTATAGTTATAGTTGCCATCAGTTATATTGGCTTGTATTGAATAACCAGCATGTGTAACTACTCTAACATGGATGCATGGAATTGCAAATGAATAGGGAAGCAAGTAATCCCTTGAGAAAAAGATCCAGGGGGGCGGGTAATCTTGATCAGATACTAGGTTAAATATCTCCATAGAAAAAAGTCAAATTCACAGCCGTAGATTTTTTGAAAGGGCTATCATTTTTTACTTGTTTGTTTGAAACAACTTTATACTTACTGTAAGTATATACTGGGTCGAGTTTGAGTACAAGTTTGATTCTTGTGCAAAATCTTTGCTCTATCACAGCTTTCTGTGTACATTTGAGTGGCAAGCACAGGAATGTTGGATTAGATCCTGTCAGCATTATGCAACTTCTTCACCACATTGTCTCACTTCCTTATAATTACAGTATTTTTCTTTCCTCACTGTTACAGCCTTACTATTTTAAAAGTTCTTTTTTACCTTGAGGTTAGAAGTAACTCTTGAAAAACAATCTCCTAAAAAACTGCTGCTAAAGATATTAGCAATTAATTGTAAAAACCTTATTGATATTTTTTCTTTCCCTCAAGGTTCACTCATAAACTTAAGCTTCAGTGTAGATACCATTTGGTATGTACAACAGGATCCTGCCTATAATCGGTTTTTTGGTCTTAGCAACAAAACAGGAAATCTTTACAGCAAAGAAACTGTTAACATATCACAGGTAAGAATAGACTGGAGTTAACAATAGATGGCAATATGTAATTCACTGAAATGGGTATGAATGGCAATGGATATTTATGAAGAAACCCAGTTGATATCTGCCACATTCATGAACACCAAAAAATTGCTTTATCTTTGACAATATACAAACATATGGTAGAGGGTCCTCCATTAAAGGAAGCGCCTGTCCAAGCTCATAAGTAGAGTGTATTAAAGATGTAGTATGTCTTGAAACTGTTAGTCTATAACATTATTAGTATGTAGCATTATTAGTTGGTATATAACATTATTGAGTTCCCCAGTACAGTACTGACCAATTAGCACTACTTTTGACTGAAATATGATAAAAATGTGTTTTTGATAATTCTTTCATACAGTCAAATGCATCTTATGTGGGCACATTTCTGATGGCAGTCAGCAAAGATTCAAATCAATCTTCTGTGGACACCTTGGTAAAGATCATGCATTTTAATGAAAATTTTATTTGAGCATTGGTGAAAAACTGAAAACCCTTTAATAATGGAAAAAAATAAATATGTCATCTAAATGCTTCTCTCAAGTTTGTCCCAACCATTTTTCCTATCTTTGTGTCTTTTACCTTTCACGCTCATGCCTTATGCTCTATTCCTTTGTTTTTTTTTTTTTTATTTCAGTAAGCCAAAGTGCATACATGTGTGGATTGTTTTAAGTATACAGTGTTTTTCATCATCAATGCTAAAATCACACTTTTAATGTGCACAATGTTAAACTGGTTTTATATGTTTATTTTTTCATAGTACTGTGTGACATACTGTGTGGGTAATGCAAATGAAGCCTGTCGTGATTCTAAATTGCTGTTATCTCAACACTCTTATCAAGCAAATGTAACTCACAATATTCCACCAGGCTATGCTGTATTGCAGTTGGCCTTGCAGACATCAAGCGTGCACAATATAGTAAGCATCAATAGCCATAGTTAAGGAAATGACTGTTTACTTAAATTTCACTTTTTTATTAACTATAATACTGAAAATTGGTTGAAGTTGAATTTTGCACAAATAGCAGACTTCCAGTGGAGTGCTGGCAAGTGGCAGTTCTTTTTTCACTAAATAACTTTTTAAAATGTTTGTGTCTAGTTTTAATTGTCACTTTGTGACCTTGTGATTTCATTTGTGGTTGAAATCTTATTCATGTGATTCTTAATAGCTCTTGGAGATAACAGTGGATTAATATTCTGTCTGTTTCAGTCCAATGTGTCCTTTGCTGTGTTAACATGTAATTCCTTGGGGCTATTCTTTGTTGACCATCTTGGTACCCTACGGACCAGAAGGAATTTGGTGGCAGATGAAGCTACATATCATTTTGTAGAGGTAGTTGAATTTTCCTCTAGCTGTTACCTACCATTACAGTTTGCTTAACCAGATTTGCTGCAGTAAGCAGCGTGTATTTGAGGAATAGGAAACCATCATAAGGTAACTGATTGTAAAAGCAGAAATACACTGTTTCTGTCACACCACTGGTTGACAGAATGGTAATCAATCAGGGAATCCATTGCAAATCCTTTGCTTCTTACTGAAAGCTAGGGCAGAACAAAAATACAGCCTTGGTAAACAAGGTACATGTAGCTAAGATCTTAACTTAGCTGCAGAACAAGCGTACTTAAAATGGCTATATCTAGACTATGTTCAATCTCCTCCTTCAAATTGCCCTTCAGGAGAGTGAAAAGAAAGGAAATTGGATTTTTAAAAATCCTTTAATTACCCTTCAGGAGAGGGAAAAGAAAGGAATTTTTGGATTTTTTTTAATCCTTTAATTGAAATTAAAAGTCAGGCAAGTGGGTGATGGAAAAGCTGGAAATTTCACAGGGGAATATTCCAATTTGTATTTGTTTGCATCCGCTGACGTTTTTTCCTGGGTTATTTATTTTTGATAGCGGCGGTATCTAAAAGACAATTTATTCTATAAGATTTCAGTCACAGCTAAAGATTCCGGTAGGTCACAGTTGGTAGAGCTTGCATCCGTGACTGTGGATCTTTCAGGATGCCTTGACCCTCCATTATTTGAAGATCCTTCATTCAAATTTAGCGTGAGGGAAGGCGAAAGCGGGCTTACTGTTGGATTTATTAAGGTATGCCGTTACAATGGTTTTTTTGCTGTATTCCTGAGCCCGATTGAGAATTACGGAGTATTTTCAATCACGATACTCTAAGCATTACTGTTTTATGTAGTTCCGCCTAGAAAAGAGCAATGGAAACTGGGTCAAACACATCAAGTTTACGCTTAATGGGTCTCATCCTGAGAAAATGAATCAGAAAAAGTTGAGAGAGTTTTTTTACAGTGTTTGTCTTGTTTCACGGCTTAAGGGTACTGCTCACAAATAGGAGTTTAGGCAGGCAATTTGTTTTGCTGTGCAGTATTTTACCTTCAAGTTAGTATATTTATAGTTACTAAGGATGGCTTGTTAGGAATGCAGGAAAAAACTCAAAGATGAAACACTTAGTGCTACAGTTTAGAGAAGGAACCTCCTGGATGTGTATAATCTTCTTTAAGGCTTTCGCCAGTACGAGTAAATAAATTAATGGCAATAATAACTCAATGGCACATACAAACTTGCCGTTATATGTTATTATGTTCTATCAAATATATTTGCTCGCGCGCGATTGGTCTACACGCATCACGCATCACAAACTTGCCGATATATGATAATATGTTCCATCAAATATATTTACTCGCGTGCGATTGGTCTAAACGCATCACACGACTGAATATCCCCTAGCTAATACTGTGGGGTATCAAATGTTACGGGAAAATTAAATGATTTCTAGCTCTCTTCATACGATGATTTTCCTTGTTTTCACTTGTTCAAACTTAACACCAACATCGCATTGATAAGAAGACATTTTAATTGACTTATTACTATTACATCCTACGTTGCTAAATTATGTATTTTTATTTTTGAAGCTGTGAGTTTAATCTCCGTCCTCTTAGTTAGTGCTTCCGAACAGATGGAGTATTTTAGTAGAATCGACAACTTCAAAGAGCCATTTTCGCTTCTATTGTGATGCTATTCAAATATTGTTAATTTAGGAAACAATAGAACCACGAGCGCAATGGCACTTAAGGAAGTACGTTGTAAAGGATTGTTGCAGAAACGAGGACCCCTTCACCATATTGATATAGGAAAGTGCGTCAAGCTTTATGGGTTCACCGATGAAAAACAGCTAAAAGCTTGGCAACTTCTTTGCTCGCAACGTGATCATTCAAAATCATGAATCAAAAAAAGCGAAATCCCGGACGTTTACATTAAACGCTAAACCGCAGATCGCTTTATTTCCTTCGGCGCTGCTCTTCTTTCACACATGCCGGTCTAGCAGGAAAAATGTCATACAGTTTAGTATTTTCAGTATTGCGTGAAGGCAGGTTTCCTTCCTGCTTCTTTATTTGATTTTGGCAAAACGGCTTTCGCAATGTCTGCACCACTTCGGTTGCCAACGCTTCTAGGCAAAAAGCACATGGTGGCCTCTGCAGTGCGGGACATGCAATAACGGCTGCATGTGAAAAAGCAAATAGGCCGAGGAAGCTTTGGAGAGGTTTTCTTACGGAATTTTGAATTACAGAAAAGGAGCCGGCAAAAGAAAAAACTAATTATAGCGGGCTTCGACGTCAGTGGATTCAACTGAAAGGCCGTCAACTTAGCATTTTGATCTAACTTGTGTTTACTAGAAAGGTATAGTGAGTATTAAGAAGAATCTAATAAATGAACACTGTTCTTATTGGCACTTAGTTCGCGTTTTATCACATCCTTTATCAATATTGATAAAGATAATGAGGGGTCTTCGTTTTCGGGTCTTAGGTCTTTGTTTTCGGGAGTCCTCGTTTTCGCTACAACCCGTTGTGAAGCTTTTGCTTTTTCGATTACGTTGACTCCAGCCAAAAGTAACTTTATAAAAGACGCTTCAAACGGCCGATGAAGGCTGAAAAATACCACAAATGCGTCGATTTAACTTTCATTTAACTTTCTTGAGATATTCAAAGCGAGATGTAATTTAGTTGTGCAATTTTCAGAGCTTTATTCATAACCCTCATAGATTTTGTTCGTTTTATGTCAACAATTATTAACCACTAACACATAGTATGGTCTGCCAGTGCATTGGTGACTGTGTGGGGATTACATCGGTGACTGTGTGGGGTTGTATTGGTGACTGTGTGGGGATTATATTGGTGACTATGTGGTGACTGCATCACTCTCTCTCTGTTGGGATTACACCAAGGATTACATCGGTTACTGTGGGAATTACATCGGCGACTGTGTGGAGATTACATTGGTGACTTTGGGGGACTACATGAGTGACTGTGAGGTGATTACAGATGTGACTGTGTGGCGATTACATTGCTGACTGTGTGGGGATAACATTGGTGACTGTGTGGGGATTACATTGATGTCTGTGAGGCGATTAAATCATTGAGTACGCTAGAGGTCATTAAAGTTGTCGGCATGAACGAATAAACTTTTGTCGGAACCAAATTGAATTTGATCCTTGACGTCCGAAGTAAGTCCGCCGAAGCAGTTCCCGTGTACCAGGAAATTGTGACGAGTTTCCGTTCCCTTAAGCTGTTCGTAAACAATTTATCAAGCGTGTTAAAAAATATTTGACGGATAATAAACACATTAACCTCTATTTTGCGCAAAAACGTGCTTGTATTCGTCCTTGGACATCATTTGTTCCTCGAAGCTCACAGTTTCCCTAGAGCTCCGCTCTCGGAAAACTGATCGGATCTTGAAATAGATTATGTCTGCGGGCAAATATCCGTGTCGCGGCTCGGTAAATATTCACCACTACGCCACCTCAACTTCGGTGAATAGCTAATTACGTTGTTAACCAATCAATTTACATTAACCAAAAGTTACTTTTTAATCCTCTGGTATTTTTTTCTCTAGGCAGTTAATCGCCATACTGGTTTGAGTGAAAGTATCTCGTACTCTTTTAAGAATGAACACTCCAAGTATTTGTAAGTTTTTAGTCATCCTTCTCTGTATAACTTTCTATAACCTGTACAGTTTCGTATCGTCTTACAGCCAAAGTAGAATCAACTCTTCAAGAATCTTGCCTTTTGTTGCCTTTAGCCTCGAAGAATCTTCTTTTGTGCCGGAATATGAAATCACAGCAACTGTGCTAATGCAAACCAACGTTATTAAAACTGAACGCCCAACGTAAATCAGGATTGTTTTTATTTCTTTGCCTCGTTTATTGATTAGTTTGTTGAAGATTCGGGAAACTTGTTTGGATTCATCTGGTGTCTGATTTGATTCCAATTCAAATCAGAGAATAGTTTCCACATTTCTAAGTTAATCTGGAGATATGTGGCAAATAAAGTAGTTAAACGGGGTGAATGACTTGTTTTAGCGCTGACAACAATCATCTTAGTGGGTAAGCACGTCTTAAAGATATCATTTTGTCTTGAAAGTTTAGAGAGAAATTTTCAACCACACAACCTCTTATTTGTCCGGTCTAACGGTTTCTTTGTGAGATATACTCTTCTGAGCAACAAGTATCTCGTCTTAGACAAGCAGACACGTGAAATTTCTTTCTCTCTCAATCATGATCGTGAACTTGATTTGAGAGCTAATATAACAAATTAACTTTGTGTTGCTTTAAATTCCAGGTTCGATTTGAATCAGATTTCTGGTGAGATTAAGACTGCGAGAGCCCTTGATCGTGAGACTGCTGACTTTCACCAGTTTACTGTGGTGGCAAGTCTTCATTTCCTTAACGGGTCCTACAACAGCCATGCAGAAGTATTGGTTACTGTTGAAGATATCAATGATAATCCGCCAGTGCTAGCTAAAGAGGAGTACACCATCTCACTGAGCCTGCATGCCAAGCCTGGTCTACTGTTAAACTTAAATGTGAGTATTAACCTAGGACGTGTAACAACTGAAGTAGCATCTGTGCAGGGTTTAATGGTATCGGTCGATCTTAAATCTTTCCTATAGCTGCAAGTCTAAGTCTGCTATGAAAATCTTTTGCAATTCTTTCCAATTGACGAAGGTACAATCCCATTGCGGAATGTTTTGAATTGTTTGCTCTAACGCGAATTTAAGCGGCTCTTGCCTGCTATCTGGGCGATGAGGCATTCTTTCCAGTAAAAGTCTGTCAGAATCCTTTTGTTCCAAACTCACTGTTTGGAGATCGTCTCTTATTGAGCATGGCCATCCTGGCAACTACCCCTCCGTATTTTTACACAACGCTGCGAAGTTGTTGTGAAACCTCAAGGGTAACGGTTCAAATATGTTGAGAACAAAACTATGGAGGCTATACTACCTTCTCCTAGGTGAGAATGTGTAGATATGTAAGCTGGCAGAGCGACAAAAATACCCAAGGCAAATAGTCTCATTATGTGGCGGCAAATTTTTAAAAGAGACTGGCAGGCCTATGTCTTCGATATTAGGCCTCTGACAAAGGGCTAACGCTCAAAACGTCAGCTTTGGAATTAACGTTGGCCAATTTGTATTATCAACTGAGTTGATAAAACAAAAAATATCTTGACGCAAAGTCACGCAGACAAACAAGAGAAAGCCGATGAATCGAAGTAGATACTAAGTGAGCTGAGAATTAAACTTGTCCCAATCTCATGTCGTAGTCAGTGTGCTGTTATTTTTTCTTTCAGGCAAGTGATAAGGATATTGGTGAAAATGCAGAGGTGGCCTTTGAAATAACAGATGGAAATAAAAAGCAGCTATTTTGGATCAATTCTTCAAGCGGGGATTTGTTTCTCGTGGCACCAATAACCTTTACCGCAGGCGACGTTGTTGTCCTTGTCGTAGAGGCTCGTGACGCATCTACCACAAATGCTTTACGAGACACAACGATTGTGAGGGTGTCATTCTACGGTAGGGGAACAAGTTAGACTTAAGATTTCCTCTTCCTACGTAACTTTCATACATTGTCAACCTCACCTGACTGAAACAGGTTATCTGTGCAGTGAATCATCCCATCACGATATTTGTATTACACTTGTGACGCATTAGAATGCTGTGGGGCATCATGAAACGTTATAAGGCTAATAATTAGGTCTTAAAATAACAATCAAGAGCTACAAAATCGAACACTATATTTTGTGGTGGTTTTTTTATTATTCGTTAATGAATAATTCAAAGAAAGTTCAGGGACTGAGATCGATTGAAAATTTATTGTTCCATTCGTCCAATTTGTCACGACTAGATTGACTCGTGACGAGTTTGATAACTGGCGTGAGAAAGTCTATCTACTTCACAGCCATAGCATCTGTCAGCTGCAAGTAGCTGTTTCTCTCTCAATATATATATATATATATATATATTTGAGGTGGAACACACATGAAAAAGTCTTCTTAGGCAGTGTTGTTGGCGCGGTTGCTGAAAATTGCCTTGTACCTGTTCATCGATTTAAGATTCAGACGAAAGCTTTCTACTTTTAACCGAAAATGTACGCTTGGATAAAGTAAACATCAGTATGCTTATCCTTCACATTACTAGTTTTCTGTATCTTTCTCAAAGGAGATGCTAAAAGAAGCTCGGCACTTACGGCGGTGGGTTCAAGTGTGGGTACCGTTGTCTTTATCATCGTTTTAGCTGTCGTTGCTCTTCTGTTATGGTAATTAGAAATAAAATCCTTTATTTTTGACATTAATTTTTCGAATGACAATTTTCGGAAAGGATGACTGGGTGTCTGCACTTTTGTGAATACAATTGCGTTGATTATCAGCCTACTACTCTCACCTTATCATGAAAATAAAGTTCATGAAAGAGCTTGGATGGGTATAATTTATGGCTGCTCTCTTAATGGAATACAGTGTCTAGTTTTACTGTGTGAAACGTGGATCTTATGATAGGGCTAGGAAATAATTACGTCAAGAAAGCTACTAATTTCTCTTCATTTTATTTTTTGTTTTGCTTTTTGTTTTGTTATGTTTTTTCCGTTAGGAAAAGGCGAAAGAAACGGTATTTAAGAGGTACTAGCGATCACCTCCAGATGGAAGATGTAAAACGCACCTGCTCTGGAATGAACAGTGCTGTTGTGACAAGTTGCACACCAAGATCTCCAATGGAGCTATCTGGTACTTTTTCGTCTGAAAGTCAGTCACCGACCATATCGACAAAACTACGTAAAATGGACTCACAGGTCCGTCTTGTAGAGGGTTGTCAAGTAGTTGTAGAACTTTGTCACATGGAACCAAAGTTATTGTCAAGTCTGCAACCTACAGAGCAGGTTTCCGAAATAGAGCCTCGAGCTTTCATATCTACACCAGTTGGCGTGGACCTCTGTCACATGGATCCCGATCCATCATTAAGATTCAGTGATGTATATTCACCCATCGGCTCGGCAACGGATGTTACTTTTAACCGCTGTAACGATTTAGACACTAGTCTTAGTGACACATGGGGGAAATCTGTGTCATCACTTACGCCACGATCACTGAGAAACCTTTGGCTGGGCTATGAAAGTGAGCCCTCAGCTGTATCAATAAGGAAACTAGCAAACGAGCCTTTGTCTAGCCACAGTGAAGATCCTCAAGTTAGCATGGATCATAGTTACAGAGAACACGATTCATCGTCAACTGTAAATTGGCCACCTCAGTTTTATGAAATGGAGCCATCGTCTCCGCTTTCAACACCTGCATCAGGATTCAGTGATCCTGATTCACTTTTTGGCTCAGTGACAGATGTTACACTGAATTACGGCAACGCTTCAGACACTAGCTTGGATGAGACGGAGTTCAAATCTGTATCTTCGT